TCTTATACTAACAAAATGTGTATTTTATTTTCTTTCAATTCTGAAAAACAAATTAAGGTCAATTCTAAATATAACGGTAAACTAAATTATAACTGGCTTATTAATAAAAATTATATGTTGGACTTCTTTATTTCTTTTCTTCCTATCTCCTATATTGGTTAAGAAGAATGAATGGAGAGTGTTTTAGGTATAATAAAATATGGATAAAGACATTTATATTTTTGTCTATAAGAAAATAACTGGTTTACCAACAATTGAAAGAAAAAGATCCTGAATCAACAGATAAGAATACCCCATAATTGTCTTTATGTTTTAGTTTATAATTACTTTGCTTTCAGAGTCCAGTCTTGGAAGTAATCCAATCGCGATAGGAAGTCACTCGCGTGTAGACACCTGGCTTATTCTTTTTACCGCATCCATCACCCCAGCTTACTATTCCAACAAGGTGCCAGATATTTCTGGAATCAGGATAAGCTAGCGGTCCACCAGAATCATTCTAAAAGTAGAAGGAAAAACATGTTTCTTGTCAAAGAATTTCCTTGTACCTCTCTTCTGGAGTTATCAATATCTCCTGGGCACTGAAATCAATCTGCCATGTTTTGACTTAGAACTCTAACACCCTTGGATTTTTCCAAAGCCCAGGGCGGTTACAATCCAAAATACATTGCCTACAGCTGCCAAATGTTGGATTGGGAAGATGAGTACTTGACTTTATAATGAGTCCAGCCTTAAATATGGAGAAAGTGACTTGGTTGCTATGGATACTGCACTGAGCTTAAGCCCCCATGATGAAGCCTCTGAGGAATGAGTCACAGCAGGGCACACTCACCCTCTTTCTGCATCTCTGGTTAAGGAGGAGGCAACATTCTAGGTCTGTAGGTTGCCCAGAAAATAGGACCAATATTATCTTACAAATTTCTCAGTATTATTTCTTGTATGGATTCCCAGACTGATAACTTCCTGAGGGCAGGATTATGTTCACCATATTGCATCCCTAGTATGTAGGCTGATGTCTGGTACATAAATGGGATTAATAAATTTTTTAGTGGATTGAAATAAGAAGCTACGAGGTGAAAATCATTAACAACAACAACAACAAAAAAATGTTGGTAACAACTTCTATTTGGTTGGGTCTTTGGGAGAAAATGATTTGATAACGTAGCTAGACATACCTGACATGCATCAGCTTCTCCTGACATAAATCCAGCACATAACATTTCATCTTTCACCAAACCAGACAACGCGTGTGAGGCGTTGCAATTTTTGTTGTCAATAATCTTCAAAAAGGCTTCTTGGAGTATCACTGGAAGGGGACCTACAGGCAATAAATGCTGCATATTATGGGGATCTTAGCCTTGTTTGTAGGATCAAGAATATGCATAAAACAGATTCTTTTAGTCACCAACAGCTAAGCCAGTTTCAGGCTAGTTAATCTCTTCCAGATATTTGTTACAGTTCACTGCCTAACAAATAATTCCAATGTTTTCAATTACCATTCCCAAAGATAGGTTAGGGAATGGCACCAATGCGATGCCATGCTTTTTGTCCCTCCACTTAGTTTTCTTTTCAGTATATTTATGGATTGATTAATCACATGAGAGGATTGATTGATCAATTAAATAATTACTCCCACGAGGCTATAATGTTTTTATAAAAAAATCTTACCATTCATATAAAGTGTTCCCCATCCCGTAACTACAACACTGTCATTTTCTGAAAGCTCCATTTTGGCTTCAGGAAGACAAATCCTACGAACGTACTTCGTAAAAGAAATTTCTTCAGCAAGCTGCACAAGGGCAATATCGTTATCAATAGCAGGACTGCTATAATTTTCATGAAAAATGATGTTTTGGACTTTCCGTGTCATATATGGTTTATTTAATATAGTTCCAAAGTTGACAGTCCAATCTTCTGAATTATTTTTCCTAGAGGATACAACATAATTAAAATACACTCAGTTCCTGGGTCACAACGGTGTTATTAGTGGTCTTTATCTCATAACTACAAGGCATGAGGTTCCCAGCCGATACTATAAACCACTTAAATTCTTATTTTTAAAAATATCTTTCACATGGGGATGTTATAAATGTTGCGGTCACATAAAAACAATGCTAAGAACTCTTAGACCTCTCAACTTGCAGAAGATCCTTTCAAGTAGGGTCACTGATATTTTCTCCTGGTAATTCAATTCCACCCAGTTTCTTAGCAATGGATTTTGGCAGGAATTATATGAGCACCCTCGGTCTCATAAGTGGATTGGGTCCAGAATTAGTCTTATTGCCATATACTCCGGATTCCTAGAGCCTGCGGCTCTGGGTACCCGTCAATAAAGTGTCACCGTTTGATCTCACCCAGTCACCCTATTATGTTGACCTAGTCTATGTATCTTGTCTTCTAATTTGGATCTTCTAACCAGTATCTCCAGCTCCCCACTGAGACTCTTTCTCAATTTAGGACCTAACATCCCGTTTAACTATTCTCACTCTTCTTTCAAAATTCCAGGCGTTATTTTCTTTAAGGCTTCAAGACCTTCATGTAACCGTGACACCCTTCTATCCACCTACCATTCTAAAATCTTCAGAGATCCCACAAGATCAACAGCAGTGCTTCTTAAACTTCATTCTTTTAGAATCAACTCAAGCTCTGCCTCCAGAGATCTATATTTAAAAGGCCTCATGTGATGCTTAAGGATCTACACTTTTAACAAGTCCCCCAGGCAGTGTTGTTCCTTTTCCACACATTTGAAGAAGACTGTTTTCACAAGTTAAATACATATTATTCTGTCCCATCCACCTGCTCCTATCAATCAAATCTTCCATCTTGTGGGTCCAGATTAAAATTTTACATGTAATGGATTTGCTCTCTTTCTTCTTTGCATTTCCATAGACTCAACTATCTGCGTGATACACGTGATGTTTACTATACTATGCTACCTTGTACTTCTAATATATGACTTTAAAATTTTTTCAACTAGATTATAAACCTCTGGATGGCAAGACAGATAAGCACTGGAGTCAGACATACTGGAGTTCACATTCAATTTCTTTTACTTAAGAGCTATATGATCTTGGACAAGTTATATCACCTCTCTTAAGCCTTAGTTCCCTCATCTTTAAATATTTTAAATTATACCTTCCATACAGAATTACTGCTGTGATTAAATAAAATGATATAAGTAAAGCATTTAAGGTCAGGCCAAGCTATTTGCAAAATGTTAATTACTTTCATTCAATTTTCCTTCCTTTCCCTAATTTAAATGCTTTCCTTGCCCTTCAATTACGCAGGTTATTGGAAATTTCCTGTATGATTGTAAATTTCATATGGCATTGGTGAACCTTCGCACATTTAAGTTAACCCCTACAGGCCATGCAAAATAGACCTGCACCCAACATCCTTCATTTAGTCACTTTCAGACTTACGCAGCAAAGCAGTGAGCTGCAGATAACAGCCACCTGCTGCTGATCAGAGAGGCTCCGCAGTTGTGTTTGCCTTTCCACCGCATGCTGGCCTGCCACGGCCACGCCCCCACCAGGGCATTTTTTCCATTTACGATTTTGTTGCCAGATATGATATTGTTGACCAGTCG